GCAACTCAAATTTTATTGTCGATTCAAATTCAAGTATTATGCCACTTTGACAATCGGTAACAGTCGGCTCACACTAATTAAAAAAAAAAGTTAAATTCCTAAAACACGGAAAAGTTAGTATTTAATTGCAGTATAGCACGTAAAATGTTTTTTTGGCGATGATCCATGATCAAAATTAGCTTTTTACGTAACTTGAACCAAACTACTTTTGCGTTTCGGTTTACGAATAAAAATGCGATGAAAACATGAAAGTGCTTTGTTGGCTGAAATGGAAAAAAAAAGTGCCTGCAACAATTCTCGAACAGTATTTAATTAAAGAATTAAACTTTTTATTTATTGTTAGGTGGTGGTTTTAATTTAATTGTTGCCGTCTTTCTTTACTTCATTTGAAATAGTTTTTTTTTTAGTTACTAAACTTCGTTTGTTTTCGTTTTTTTTTGTCACTACCTACGCCATTTCATTTCTCAACTCAACACATGGTCTCTAAAAACAATTTGTTTCTGTTTTGAAGAGGCCTGTGAGTAATTACATACCCTCGACCCACCAACCAATCTATACTGCTCATGAAGAGGCGACAAAAAGACAATCTTGCTATGAGCTGTGATTTTATTTTATATATATTTTTTAGTGCTCGATATTTCGTTATCAGTATGCTATGTCTGGCCACTTCTAAAAAAAGCTTTATACTAAAAATGCATTTTCAGTTAATTAAACTGCAATTTGATGTTGTATAGCTGACTAAACAAGACCAGTTTTTATATCACAACGCTTGAACTCAGAAGTTTTATTTTAAAACTCGACGATTTTTTTTTTGTTATCTGAATATTTGAAACAAGGAATTAACTTATTAACACTGATTTGTTCGGACAAAAGTAGGAGAGAAAACTGAAGAAGGCCGGATAGTAAAACGGCCGAAACATCATAACGGAGGCATAAGAACGAGCGAATCACTGCAGTGAATTTGACATTTCTACATCAGAATCCCCCCCCCCGCCAAAAGCTAAGTAATCAAGTGTAGTAACAATTTAGAAATTCGTGAAGAAAGAACGATACACTTTATTTAAAAATTGGATGACAAAGAATGAAATGAAGAGTCAGTGTGTGTTAAAAAAAAACAAAAAAAAACACAAACTATAAAATTAAGATGGCAAACAAAATTATTTATTGATTCAAATTTGAAATTAATCCAGTTTTTATTGTTTAAACTGGCCTATTCCGATATTCTGTTTACTTTTTTAAGCTACACTATGTTATTTATTTATTTTTTTTTTTTTAATGAATCTGAAATCAATTTACATTCGAAACAAAAGGTTTTTTTTAATCAAATTTTTCTCATGTTGAACTACAAATAATAAAAAAAATAATAAAGGTAAAAAAAATCCATCTTATTCTTACTTTTCTCTTCTGCTAGCAAGCGTTACTGTTCAATTAGTGTTAAAAATGTTCACTGAGGAGGCATAAAGACGGGATTGTTCTCTAACGTCACATACTTTCTATTTTTGGTGTTTCTGTGTGCTGACGTGAGTGATGATGAAATCGTTAAACAGCTTGGAGGAAGATCGACTCTGATGACAACATTCGTCATTTTGAGGATTTCCATTATATGAGAAAGGAATGGAATTTATTTTAAGAGCAGACAATCAACATGGAAAAAATGCCCTGAACGTACTAAAAATAAATATCAGTTTTGGGGGGGTAACCCAACTAACCACCATGTGATCAATTGAGCTTGCTTGCTTGCTTGTGTGTCTGTCTGTCTGTAATTAATAATTAGAAAACACTTTCAGTTAAGAAAGCGATTTATATTTCCGATTCGTTTGCTGTTTAGTGTTTGTGTATTTATTTCCCAACCTAAAATGCTAAATTAAATACAAAAAATAAAACAAACGCGTTATGATTTTTTTATATATAAAAAATTTAAATCGAAAAAAAATTAATGAATGAAAATTAGTGCGTTGGTAAATGTCCGCCCACCCCTCCAAAAATAGTTGTGTGCAGAGGAATCTGGACATCCCGTGACATTGACATTTCAGAAGATCTTGAAAGGATAAAAAAGGTGGTGATCTCATGGTTGAAAATGAAATATTGTCACTTGAAACAGCTGTCATCTATTATTGTTAAATAATTTGCCTAGAAACCGTTTTAAAATAACGTATTTTAAAGCAATTTACTGTCTTTCTTTACCTTATTTTTATTCTCTTGGCGAGGAGAGAAAAGCAGGACATTAAAAAAAAAAAAAAATGAGAATATTTTTATCATCACAATATGATTGTGTAATTAAAAAAAGAGTCATAACAAACATCAATAAATTATTAGCTACCTTTTTAGTTTTTAGTCTTAACTGCAGTTTTTTCATTTTTTATTATATTTTCATTTTTTTTTTTTTCAGTTATTGGAAAAGTCAGTTAAAAAACAACAAAAAACGAATAGAGTAGTTATAATTAAATTTTCCTCAAGCCTTTTTTTTTTCATTAGTTTTATTTCCACTTCACGGATAAGGTTCTTCATTTTATGGTTTTTAGCCTGCAGATTTTTTTTTTATTATTGAAAATAAGCTAAAAAGGCTTTTTGTATTGTAGTTTAATTTGTGTCACTGTTACTTCGTGTTGTCAAATAATTGTTGGTGACGTAAGAAAATATTCCGATTTGCTTTAAATTGTCTCTTTCTTAATTCGATTTTGAAATCAAGTCGATAAATAATCAATCGTCAGTAACATAAAATATATTAATTTTGCTTTTTTGCAGCAGCCACTAAAGATTTATTTATGATAACAACATTGTTAAAAAAATAAAATGTAATTTTTAGATAGTGATGTCCTGAATTTAAGCAACACTAAAAACCTGTTGTTTAATTTTTATATTTTGACTAGGGTACCCGTTAAAAGAAAAGAAAAAAGGGTTATTTATATAGATCGGCACTTTACATTCGGATCAGAATGTATCTGTGCCTTTGATACCTTGTACTTTGCAGTGACATGCACACGAGTAGGGATGCTGAAAAGCTCTTGGGGCCAACCTACTTCTCATACTGTGTATACGACAGGCTATACATCAAACTTTGGGAATTCCTCGTTAGTTGGTTCAAGAAGAACCTTCCAGCACTTTACTATTGTGTGAATGGGTGTGATTTATATGGATGTTATCATATATGACGTTTCATGTTATTAATCTTCATTCCTCACATCCCTGACCCTGCCAATTATTTTTGTTGTATGAATTCCTGATTCAGTTATGGTGTCCTTGCCTGGCTTTATCAAGATTCACTTATTACTAAAAAGTAGTGTCTTTGTTTTTTAACCTTTACTCTTGATTGCTGTAGGGTGGTGTGGATTAACAGATTATTTATTTTTATCTTTTGTTATGGCTTATTATTGTGTATTATCGATTTCCACCCTCCTTCATGCAAGTAATTTTCAAGATTTATATTCAAAGCAATCTAAAATGGGTTTTAATATCTTGCTTTTAACTGATATAGAAGATCACTAATAAAAACAAAAACATTGAAAACTATAATTTTATCTTATTGTTTGAAATGATGAAAATATTGCTATGCTAGGGAAAGTAGTACAATAATTGCCAAAAAAAAAAAATGCTTGTGGATTAGTTTAAATAAAAAAGTTAAAAATAGTAGATATATTAACAATTTTTTTTTCTCTATTAAAATTTGACTATAAACAAACAATGCACACTGATACTGTGGAAGGCTGAGGCTGTGAAGATTATTGGCATTGTCAATATATTCAACATGTCCAAGATTTTCTATTTTTCAATATTTGTTGATATGGTTTTAACAAAGAATGTTTTGAGTAAAGTTTCTTCTTTGGAAGACAATCTACCAGAATATAGAGTAAACAAGGGAAGATGTTTTTTTATAACTTTGACTGCCTACTTGATACATTCTCCTGTTTATGCAGGACTGAGTAGGAGACAAGGATCTGTGAAAATATTTAACAGAAATATGTTGATTTCTGTTTGAAAACATGTTAGTTAATTGAAGAGTATGAAATTTTAAAATTTGATTACAAATGCCTAAAAGTTGAAACCTGGGAGGTTAATAATTTGATAGATGTTTTAAATGTTCTATAAATTTTATATTTTTATTTAAACTATAAATTAATTTTTTATTTAAGGTTTGTATCCACTCAGTATTTTATTAATAACTAGTTTAAAAGCCGCACTCTGTGTGGACTTTTAAACTCATTCCTGCCCAAAACCAGAGACCTGGTTCAGCTTAGAAAACAGCAATAATTTTGAAGAAATAACTTTGAATTCCTCAATTCACTCCATGGAACTTCAAAACCTTGCTTTAACTATGATTCAGGCTATAAGTTCAGATCAGGCTGAAAATTGAGTTCTTCAAATCATAAACTCCGTGGAACTTCAAAGCACCCCGTCACAAAGCCTCTTCTTACTTTAACTCTGATTCCTTGGTATTTTGAAGAAATAAAATTGATTTTTTGAGGTATTTTCAACTGAATTTAAAACAAAAGATTTTAAATTCATAAAGTTTTTGTGTTACTTTCAAGTCAGTTTAAATTAAAATATTAAAATCTCTAATTTTTTTTTTTTTTTCAGTTATTTTAAAATCTAAACTTTTTAACTGTTCTCTCCTCATCCGGACAATAAATCCCAATGCTGGATGTTCAAGCACCAGATGAAGGGCAGATTTTCATTCCTGGGATCATCCCGACTCCAAAACAAATGTATGTCTATATGTAGAGCAAGTGTGGTGAGAGTTAGATGGGTTTCAGATGGACAGAATTTGTCATTTATTTATTTAGATTTTCAATAAAAATTATTTATTTTAATTGAAATTGATTTAAAAAAAAATATATATGTCCTAATATATCCACTATAATTTGAATCTGTATAATTTGCACATTTTGAACAAATGTTAATTTATATAAAAGTTTTTCTTCACAAACATTATACCATTTAATCTTTTTACTGAATATAAACAATTCTGAGCCATTATCCATTACACCACCTGCACATCCAAGCTTACAGCACCTGGTATTCCCAAGCAGTCACCCATCTAGGTACTAACCAGGCTCTGTGTTGTTTAACTTTTATCGTACAGGAACCAGTGTCTCAACGTGATGTGCCCATAAGCAAGTGGAAAGAAAAAGAACACGTGAAGGTAAATCAGTAATTTCATAGCCTGACACTTACTGAAGTTTAATCTGAAATATCTACAATTTGATCTACAATTAATTGACAAAGGTTAAGTCCATAGAGAAAGAAGGAAATGTGATTGAAAAAGTTCTTTTAAATATATTTTAAGATAAATGCTTTATTTTTTCATCATGAGGATACAGTTATTTTGTATGTCAACATCTCTCTTTGCATAGATCTGTCTTTATCTATCTCCTTTATATATATATATATATATAGTAATGTTTTAGGTTGGTACATTGTGGGCATGTTCATATTTGAGCATTTTCAGCTATACTTGTAGTTATTATCAAGGATGATTTAATTTTACCTTTAACTGAATGTATGGATTTTTTTATGTATGTATCTAGAGTTATAGTAATGTTTTATTTTCCAAAAACGGTCAGCATATTGTGGATATATATAAATATATATAATATATATATATATATATAAAAACAGTGGACAAAGGTCAATTGTGTTCAAGCATGAAACACTGTCAGCACCATGTTGACCTTGGTGTCCACTTTCATATTTACATATGCTCTATCCTTGATATTGAGCATTTTTATCTATGAATAGAGCATACCATAAAGCTATATTTTAACATGTATATATAAATTTTGTTTTAAAGCCTGGAATAATCACTGATCATGTGTAATAGAAACATAAAAGACAAAATTGAAAAGTGTATTTTTTTTTCCAGTCCATTTCCCCATTTTCATAGGTCCTCTTGCTTCTTTTATAAATGCTTTTACAGTGATTGTTCTGATGATCTTTTCTCTTTTGCTACCCCAACTTTATAGATGTAAGTGCAGTACTAGATTGGCAGTTAGGTCTCATAATTTCACTGTTGAAATTGCTAGTTGTAATCATAAGTTCCATGCCAATAGTTTCTTTTCCCACACTTCCTGTTTGTAGAACTATTTACTTGCTTTCCTGTCAACTTTTGTCTCCTTGAATCTTGTTTCTTTATAGTCCATTCTGTTTCTTTCACTCTCTGTAATCCCTTGAATCCTAGTGGCTATAAAAGCCTTGCTTGGGGTGAAATGATTAAAAAAAAAGTAAAATAAAAAAAAAAATAAAAAAAATTACCTGTAAATTGGTTGTGACAACAGTTGTTTATAAATTAGATTGTGAAAATTTCCCTGAGAAATTTGTTTTTTTGCTGTTTACATATATTACAAGAGAATTTATGTTTGGATGCAATGATTGGAACTCAAATATTGTCTAAATATTTGAGATGCATTGCTTTTGACAAAACTTCTGGCTATTAAGAGAATAAAAAAAACTAAAAGATGTGATTCATTAAGAAGTTGTCATTTAATAAACAGACTCTACTATAAGCATAAGTTTAGATGTTTGTGAATAAAGTCGGAAAGGAAGGTTATATATTATATGTGGAACTATTTTAAGTGATTCATATATATATTTGCACATAGCTGTATGCAAATTTGTATAAAATACAGATATATTCACCTGTCTATACATAGTGATATTTTCTGATGTAGCAAAAACAGAAATTTATGTTAAACTTTATTATTAATTCTATGACTTTGCTGTATAGAATGCTATTTCTTTAGTTTAACCCTTTAGCATTCAACCCACCCCCATAAATATTGGCTCTCAATGTTCAGCTCTCTGTAACCCGCCCCATGTATACTTTTCCATAATATATGACGAAATCATCGCAAATAACATTGGATGTCATGCAAATACTGAATTTGAGAGCCAATATTTATGGGGTGGGTTTGAGTGTGTTGAATACTAAAGGGTTAATATTCAGGAAGTAATAAATGTTATGTGTGGGGTAGCATAGTGGTTCTTGGAATGGAGAATGGTGAGCCAAGTACAGATTCTGTCATAATCTGTTGCATTCACTTTTGCACTAATACCTTTGGGAAAGGCATTTCTTTTCATTGCTATGGATTAAGTTATATAATTTTTGATGCATTTGACACTTTCTAAAACACTTGCTCACGACTAGAAATATATATTGAATAAAGTCACAGGAGCTTCCATCAACTGCTGTACCTTCTCTAGCAGTAGTTGTTGTGGAAAAGTGTGCCTCTTACTTGCTATCTCAGAAATCAGAAAATAAATGGAAAACATCCCTACATCTTGGTTCACAAAGCCAAGTCATGAGATACATAAATATAATCATACATAAAATATGTAATGTCTTGCACACCTATCTGCTTGGACAGCTAACCAATCCAACAGAGACAACCTGTGGTTTATGTTACAACTATACTGAGCAGACCTTGGTTATTGTTTCTCAGAGAAAACAAACAAAAAAAAAATCAGGTGAAATCAACAGTTTGAATAAGGCCAATAATGACTTGTGACTTTATGCGAGCACAACAATTGATAGCTTCTAAACAGTTCTGTTTACCCAATTTCACTCAATTGACTTAGATCAACCAATAGTATGGTTTACAAGCACTTTTGAATGATGCCACATATGGTTATTGCTTCCACAGGCCAATAATCTCAAGAAGTCAGCTCCCTGACAAATTGACCATGGTGATATTCCAACCCAGGTCTCATGGTTGGAAAGTGAATGTTCTAACCACTCAGCCACAAAACATTGTGAATATGGCAATGATGATGAAGATGTCAGTCCGAATAATGTAAACAGTATTTGGTGATTTTAAAATATGTTACACATTAGTTTGGACCACAGCTATAACTTTCAGTCATATTCTTCTCTGTGCTATGTTCCTTCAGGATGTTTACATTCTTGGCTTTCCACAATTTCCTGTACTTTGTAGCTCTTAATACCTTGTCTTTTTGCTGTCTCTCTCAAACCCTCCTTCCCTATCTATTTGCTCAAGCTCACCAGGTATGTTGTGTGTTGCTTTCCTATAGCCCTCTTACCGTTATTCTATCTTGTGAATATCAAATTTTCCAAGTCCTCTTTCTTCATTATGTGCCCCAGAAATTTCTACTACCTCGTTCTGATGTTAAGCATTAATATCCTTTTTATTGCCATTGTCTTTAGAACTTTGTCATTGCTCACATTTGGTCCATAATATTCTCAGAAAATTGCCAGGGTTTTGAATTTCTTTATCTGATAGTGCTTTAGAACAAATTCAGAAAACAGAATGAGGTTTTATTAACTGAAAACCTTAAAATTAAATGAAAAATTTTATTGATCAACATTTCGTATATAAGAAAAAAAATTCAGCAAAACAGGATGAAAATAAGAAAAATTAAAAATATAAGAAAAAAAAATGTTTAAAATGAGTGGAGATTTTTAAGAAATAGATCAAAGAAATATGATTTTATTGTCTGGATTATATAGCTCAAAAGCTCTCTTCAGTTTATCATTGATATTTTTGTACTTTTTTGGATTACGAATCTCATCTTCTTGTATGAATTGTAGTATTTTTGTTTACACTAAAATTTTCTCCTTCAAAAATACAATACGTTTCCAGATATTTGGATGACTTGCGATATTTTTGAAAAAAAGCATTGTTGAGCTTTTCAATGTTGTAGTTGGTACGTGGCATGCAATGCTCCACTGTGGAATGAACATTCCATATAGGGATTGAGAATAAAAGTATTGACCATCTCCTATCATTACCCCTCCCTCTCATATCACCAATGTATGTTAATTCAAAATATGACAAATTCTTCTGGAATATCTTCATCTTTGGATAGCTCTTCAAAGCCAATAACATCATGATATGGGAGGAAGGTCAGGACTGAAAAAACATTGTAACTTTAAACTAAAGCTGCTTTCATTCTGGTATCAATTTTTGAAACTAAAGTTCCCCATTTTTCTATGCCTGGCAGAAATGGAAAAAAGACAACCAGTGTGATCAGTTTGGAGAAAAACATTCATTAGTCCATTTATTGAAGCCTTCTCAAAATCACTCATTACCATGTGGGGGGTTTAGTTGTACTAAATTCTTAATTATATTAAACAAATTTTTATAGGTTGTTTCACTTTTTTTAAGAAAGAATTGAAAAAAAAAAAAAAACACATGGAAAACTAATTTTCAACTTGTTCATACAGTGTAAACAGCTGATAATACACATCAGGGGACACTATGCAAATATAAATGAAGAAATTGTAGTTTTAGTTCAGAGAAGCATCTATATAAAATAGAAATGTCTAGTCTTACTAATATTTTCATCATTTAGGTTTGTCATCGATTATAAGCACTTATAAAAAGAGGAATGATAGTTTGGGTCAAAAAATTAGTTATGAAAAGAGAAATTAATTTTTTTTTTTTTTTAATATTAGATTTTCTGCGCCCAATCTTTTAATTTGTCAGTGACAATATTCCACACTGACAATTTTCTCAATGGGAATTTTCCTAGGACCTTCTCAGCATCCTTCTGTTAAACCACATTTCTGTTCAAGTTTTTTCTTCATCTGTGAGGAGTGTCTAATATTCACTGCCATATAGGAGGACTTATTCAACATAACTGTTTACTACTCCTTTCTTTGTTTCTAAACAATATTTTTCTGTTTCTTAATACTTTGCTCAGCTTTTGAAATGTACCTTTGGATTTCTGTGTTGCACTTTGTGTCCTCTGTTAATATGCTTCCTAGATATCTAAATTGCTGCACCAGTTCAATTTCAGTATCTCCAATCTATAGTTTGCATGTTAGGCTCGATATTTCTTCTTGCATGTAATATGCACCCCTAACTTTTAAGGCTTAAAAATCTGTGAAAAATGGATGTATTATACATGAATAATTACAAAATGTTAAAATCAAATCTATATATGACATTTGTTGTTCATAAGTTCACTTGCCCTATTGGATAATATTGTATCTATGAAATTAACAAAAAAGTATTCTATATAGTATGTACAATCACAACTCTATCCCATAGACTTGCGTGTCATAATTCTGACCAGTGGCCGATACAGTAACACATGATATTGTAACATAAAAGTATGATAAAACTACTTGACACATGGTTAGGTCAT